TTGTTTTTTGAGACAGGGTCTCACTATGTAGTCAAGACTGACCTGGAACTCACTATGTAGCCCTGGCTGGTCTTGAACTCACAGCGATCCTCCTGCCTCAGCCTCCTGAGTGCTGGGATTACAGGCGTGTGCCATCACACCGGGCTGTAAAGTTTTCTGAAGAGAGAAGAGTACTGAAAACAGGTAGCATATACTGTTAGTTTTTAAAGAACTCATTTCTAAATAAGTGGAAAATGCCATGAATAAAGGGAAAAACTACAAATCATAAAAACTCAGAGTCACAAGAGAACTTGAGGTCACATAAAGATGTGTGCCTTTGTTCTTCCCCTTCCACAGACCTAGAATGTTGGAGCATCAGTGACACTTTTCTTCTCATTCTCAAGCAGACCCTGTCAGCTCTACCCTCCGGAGGGGTCAGAATGAGAACGCTTTACACATCTCCACTTGTGGTGGTCCATTCTTGCCCCCATACTTGTACCTCTGCTTCTTGTTCCTCTTTAGTTTATTCTCAGCTGCTAAGGATACTTTACAAACGTAAGTCTGACCACTACATCCCTCCGAGGCTCATGACAGCCAGGGTCTGAAGTCAGTCTTTACAGATAGATATCCCAGGGCGCTGTGCAGTCAGCTCCCACCTCTCTGCTACCCAGCTCCTAGGACTCTCTTATCCTTCTCTGCCCGTCCTCCACTGCCTTTCCTTTATTGTGTAGATAAGGGAATTAAGGTCTTGAGAGACTGATTATTTTCCCAGGGTACCCACTGTGGTTAGAGTCAGAATTGGGGGCACTGAATTAGTTTAATGTGAATGTCATCACATAATACTCGTTTTGTGCCATTATCATCATCATCATCATCATCATCATCATCATCATCATCATCATTATTATTATTATTATTTTGCAGTACTGAGTACTGAACCCAGGACCTAGTGTATCCTAGGCAAGCACTTGACCACTGATCTACATTCCCAGCCCTATAAAAAAGTTTTAAAAAAAAATTTTTGGGACAGGATATAACTGTTGCCTGGCCTGGCATCAAACCTGTGATCCTTCTGCCTTCGCCTCCTGAGTAGCTGGAATTGTAGCTGTGTGCCACTGTAGTTGGCTGTTTGAATAATTCTGAATGACTGATGTCATATTCCATGTTTCTGATTCAGTATCAAGTAGTAAAGGTGCAAGAAGCAGAGAGGCTGAGAGGGAGATGGAATGTGAATGAGAGTGTCACACACACATGTACACACTCACACAGAGTGGTAGATAAGAGGAGAGAGACAAGAAAAAAGACATGGTACTGAGAGAACCCCAGCTGGATTCCTGCCTCTAGCTATTGCCCATAGCCAAGCACAACGTCCAGTCCTCCATTGTTCCTCCTGTGGTTCATTTCCTCACATCAGTTTTTGTCCTTGAACACTCTTGCTTGAACAAGGGAATATTTTCAAATCCTAGTGAAATTAGGCACAGTGTTTGGGTTAGTGCATGAGTTTCCCCACTGGTACCACACTACGACTAAGAAGATCCTCAAAACATGGCAGAAGTTAGCATAGGATTCCAGGCTGACAGTTCTTCGTCAGGGAGCTTCAGGCTGGCTTCTCATTGTGGGTCCCGTACTCTGCTTTGTGCAGACATAAACAGACTCTTTAGTTTGCATGGTATTCAGTTGAAAATAAGCTAGTTTTTTTCCTAAGGACTTTTGAGTTTTAAAATCCCTGCTTTCAAGTGTCACTTGGTCAGGGAGCCCTCCTTGACCATCCCTGCATCCCTCCCCTCTTCTCTCATCTGGCTTTAGCTTTCTCCACTGCGTGTATCATGACCTGATGCTCTGTAATGCTTGATGGTTTGTTTATTATCACTTCCTCATGCCTGGAGTTGTGCTTTGTACACTGTATTTCTGTGAATGTCTATTGACTGAGTGTGTTTTCTAGGACCAGCATGGGAGCGATCATGAAGATATATTCTGGGTGCTCATGGTTCCAGTACTGAAGAAGGAGGCAAATATCTTTTAGAATCTGCTGTTAAAAGGAAAACTGTATTTCATAAATCTGGCTTGAAAGTAGCTGCCTTGGAATGAAAGCCCCCAACAGCCAAGACAGCGAGGGCATCTGTGTCTGCCAGGATCTCTTCCTTCTTCCATTTTACCCTGTGTGAGGAGGAATTAGCTCATTACACACAGAAGTGCTGTGGTGTCTGTCTTTGGGAATCTGTCCTCTTTGTTTCATGGAGGTTTCCCAGCCTTACTCACAGTGAAATGATGCCCAAAAATGTGGTAGACGTGTAACTCTAGTGTTGACCGTATTTTCAAAATACTTCTTTAAATAGTGCCCATGTATTTCTAGCTGGTGAATAAATTAGAATGTAATCCTTATTCATGCTGAAGAGTCCACAGTCATTTCCTCAGCTATGCTTGCTGCAGCTTATCTTTAAGTCATTATACAGCTGGTTGTTAGGTGCATCTTTGGTCAGAAAGCTGCTGAACCTGGGGAAAGATGAAAGCTCAGGCAAGAGCTGAAGGCGTCAGCAAAAGGCATTTTGACAAACATTTGATCATTTCTCATAATGATCATTTCTCAAGCTGGGAGCTTTTGTTTCTAATGTCTGGCTTCTGTGGATTGTGGTTGCTGCCATTTCTACTTTTCTCCTAGTCTGTAATGTTTATGGAAGAAAGGGGTTGTCTAAACTGGTTTGGCCTCTCTGTAAACTGCAGTGCTGTCTGTCTGTTGTCATCTGACTGGTAGCCACACGCTGTCTACAGAAGTCAGCCTTTTAGTGCTCAGCAGTTGGGATAGAAGAGGAGCACACTTAGAAGACCAAAGCCTTTATGTGTTTGAAACATGCTTTCACAAAGACCGAAATAAAGTTCTAGTAACATTTACACACCGAGTGTGGGCCAGTTTGAACATTTGCTTCTTATCCTATAACATCACTAGTGGGCAGTTACATTGATTAGGTTAGGATTTCTTAACCTTAGATCCAAGGAAGGACTGCCTCATCTGAGTAATTACAGAAATTGTAAGCAGAATTTTGTGTGTTTTTTTTCCCATTTATTCTTTGGGAAAGTTGACTCATGGCTTTCATTGGATTCTCCAAAACAAAAACAAAAGCAAACTTGACTGCTGTGTAGAGTCTGTGTGGGGTTCACTAAATGAGAAATCTGGAGGCCTGGGTTCATCAGTCTCCAAAAGCAAAAATATTTCTCTCTGTCTCTGTCTGTCTGTCTCTCATTATGTGTGTGTGTGTGTGTGTGTGTGTGTGTGTGTGTGTGTGTGTGTGTGTGTGTGTGTGTGTGTGTGTGTGTGTGTGTGTGTGTGTGTGTGTGTGTGTGTGTGTGTGTGTGTGTGTGTGTGTGTGTGTGTGTGTGTGTGTGTGTGTGTTTTGGTACCGGGGATTGAACTTGGGTCCTTGCGCTTGCAAGGCAGGCCACCAAACCGCTGAGCTAGATCACCGGCCCCGTGTTTGTTTTTTTGAGACAGAATCTCTATGTAGCTCAGTCTGGCTTTGAATTCATAATCCCTCTGCCTTGGCCTCCCAAATGCCAGGCTAATACATCATTCTTCTAGGCAGTGGACTCCTCAACCACAAGCGAGAAGATTGAATTAAATCAGCATTCTGTGAAGATAGTTCATGTGTGTAGTCATTTAAGGACTGTCTACGATTCTTGCCACATCTGATTACAACCTGTAGTATTTATATTTTTCTTTTCATCTAGCATTCAAAAATTAAAATTTATTTTGAAAAGAATTCCATTTGTAAATGGAAAACCAGCATCATTTGTTATTCAAATGTTACATAAAGATAATTGCCTTTACCCCAGAGGAAGGCGTGCCGCACCTGACACACTGGTGCACTGAAGATGTTATGTTGTCCAGTCTAGGTCAACTCTGTGCCTTCCTCCACCCAGAAGACCCCAGAAAACACTCCATCACTAAGGCATTAAGAAACTAAGAGCTTTGTGGTTTCATTTTCTGTGGCCAGATAATAATGAAGGATACTGCTTAGGAATCTCAGTGGAGAAAAATGGTGTCAGCAGTGACAGAGGCCAGACAAGGACAATGCAGTGAATGAAAGAAGCCATAGGACGGCAGCTAACCAGGATGTTGTGACCAACAGTGTTCTGTAATGATTGTTCATTGATCATAGGACTATAGAAAAAAACAGATGGATATCCCATTAAGTTACTCCTGGACATCAAAATTCTAGGTCCACTGAGCCTAACTCCCCGCATCACAGTGCGATTCAGTTTTTCTCTGGTTTCTACACCTAGAGCCCCTTAGTTGGGTGACACCAAATCCCCATGAAGGAAGACCCTGCAACATGCCCACATGACTATATCGTGGAAGTTTCCTGTAGAGGGAACTGCAGCAATTTACTAGGGAGACACCGTGGCATGGTGGGGTAAGTAAAATACCCACAATCTCTGGATCATTATATAGTGGTCCTGAGCCCAAGAATACTTTATAACATTAATTAGTGCTTATAGAAGTCAAATGAGAACTGGAACCTTGGTTTGTGCCAGTCTAATAGTGGGTCTAGTGGCTTTATCATGTGGTTCTTCTCCTAGTCTCAGAACTCATACTGAGAATAGTTACACTAATTGGCAGGATCCCACAATGATTCCTACACCAGGGAAATGAATGATATAGTAGAAAGGGCCAACTGGAAGGAAGAACTGACCCCAGAACTGACCTCTCTGGGGAATGCAGAGATCAGTGTCACCACTGATGAGATACAAGGAAGATGTTCTGCTGCTTCTCCATGTAAATTACCTATTAGGCTGATACTGAAACTAAATGGGTCATGGGTGTTGCATGGGGAGTTACTGCAAACTCAATCAGGTGTTTCCAGTTGCAGATTTATTTCCAGATGTGGCAACTTTTGTGGGACAAATTAATATAGCAGAGGGCACTTGTGTGAAGCTATCTGTCAGATGATTTCTTTCTATTCTAGTCAGTAAGAAAAATCAGAAGTAGTTTACTATTAAGAGACAGGAATAATACTAGCTGATGATGTTTTGCCCTAGGACTATGTCAGCGGTCCTGCAGTGTGTTCTAACATTGTCCTGAATGTCCTCGATCACCTTCATATTCCATAAGACACCACAACTGTCCAGGACTTTGAAGACACTGTGCAACAGGATTTGAGTAAGGGCAGAACACAAATACTGCAAAAGTTCGTGGGTATGGGGCTCTAGGAGTCCAACACATATTAAGATAGCTAAATGTTATTGGCAGTTTGGTGCTTCTTGTGCTACCCTTCACTAAGAAACACCGTTTTTTTTTATACTTCTTTGTGTTTTGAAGACAACATATAACACATATTGTATAACTTGAAAGGCTGAAAATTTTGAATAGGACCTGGAACCTGAAGGAGGTCCATGCTGCATTCAACTCAGAAGGCGCCAGTGTATTGGAAGTATCTGCAACAGTGTGGGACCTGCAGCCCACCCTGCAAGGAGAGGAGTAGCAGAGGCTACGTGATTATGACATTTAAGTGCTGCAAATGGTCTGTGTGATATACAACGCACTGAACCAGCAAACTGAAGATGAACAACAGCAGTGGAAATGACTTCCATATAATTCTTCTTTGTAACTTTGATACCTTTTGCTCAGTCCACATGTTTCTATTCATCGGAAGTTCTTTGTGAGTAGATTGCAACATATCCAGGTTTACCCTAGGTAGTCCTAGTTTATACTGTTTCCCAGACTAATGATTAATAATACTCCTTTCATTGTCAAAAGTGTTCCAGACAGAGAATCGATTAAACGCTACCCTGCCTGTGACCAATTTATGGAGAGGAAAAGTGTGTGTCTGAGTCATGGATTTCTGTTTGGTATTCTGGTATCGGTTAGACGTTGGCCAGTTAGTGTACTGCAACACCACTCAGTCAGCAGAGTTTTAAATTAGGTATCTGCTTAACTATTTCGTGTGGAAAAGGAGATAGCCTGAGAGATTGAATTACACTGACTCAAGGTTCTCCATATTGGCCACCTAGCCAGGGCTTTGGAAAGAATAAAATCAGAAGTTTGGTGATAAGGAGTGTCTAGAAGAAATGTAGTGTAGGAAGACCTCTCTGAATGGGGCATGGTATGAAGATATTTATTTCTCATGTGTTTACATCCTGGTAGAGGGAATCCATGGTGGAGGAGATTCTCCGTAATCAAGATGGTCCCTCGTGTGGGGTGACATTCAGTTTCTTTCCCTGACAGTGTTAGTATTTACTCAGTGGACCAGTGTTCAGAGACAGTAGTGGCAGGGACAGAAGTCATTTGAAGGACCCCACAACATAGATCTCTCCTCACCAAAACTGATTTAGCTATTGTTGCTAGCTATTAAGCCCCCAGCCTACTAGTAGCCAAAGTCAATTTTGACCTCTGATGTGGTAACATTTGTCAGCACATGTGGTCTTGCAGTGCTTGTGCATTCAAAGAAGGACCAGAAAGGCAAGGCATAGAAGGTGAATGGAAAGGCATAGGTTCATCAAATAATGGGAACAATTCACTCTTCCATCGTTGCTGCTGCTGTTTGGCTGAATTCTCTTTATGCAATGGATCCACTGAAAAATAAGGAAACTGCTACAATTCAGCAATTTCATCTGTTTACCTCATTTAATTCTCACAGTAGCTCTGTGAGCTAGGGAGCAGGCCGTTACAAAAAATAAAAATATAGACACAAGATGAAAGTCTCATATACACTATCAAGGTTTAAACACAAATCTTTCTGTCTTTGACTACACTGATTTTTACAAGGCTGTCAGGCATGCTAAGGTGGATCTTGCTATCTGCTGGCTACTATAGAAGTCATTCTCCTGCCCTCACGACCTTTGCTAGAGCAACTTGAAGGTCAGCAGCTCCAGCCTATGGAGTGGCGTGAACATCATGCTTTGCTAAGGCTCCCAAAGAATGTCAGGTTGATGGTATCTCAGGGCTCTCCTTCCTTGGCTGCATCACCTAAACTCTTCATCAGGGTAGGGAGGAGACTGAGTTCTATGTAGTCTAAGACCTGGGCTGGGCAACTGAGGAGAAAGAAGGCTGGTTTTCTGTGCTGATCACATCTGGGCTTGCGATCTCTTACTTTGGGCATGTAGCCCAGACTCATACACACCCATCCTTGACGGCAGGCAAGGGTCATTTTCTACAGCTCCTTTCCCCATGTTACATTTCTTGGGATTTAGCTAATTCCCACACAGCTCTTGTGGAGGGCCTCGTTTTGCAGATGTTTTTGATACCGTCCTGTGGAAACTTGCCTGATCCCTTCCAAGCCCTCCAGTGCCACTTAAACTAGATTAGGTGCCTATTCTCTGTGGTTCTAGGGGCACCTTGTACTTGGTCTTTTCATAGTGTTTTTCATGTGTGCTGTAGCATTGAGTGTATCTGTTTTGCAGTATTGTTGGGAGGCAATACATGTGAAATAATTGAGCTTGGCCTAGAGTGGTTTTGTTATTATTGTGATTATTTATCTACTTGCCAATCATGTCCATTGTGGCATTTAAAGGAAAGGGCTATGTGCCTGATCCTTGCACAGTGCCTAGGATTTAGGTAGATATTCAGCAAACTCTGAATGAAAGAAAAAAGATGAATGAATTGAATAAAATGTATATAGCAAAGGTAGGGGTGCATATGCTTTTCTTAACTATCTTTATATAAATAATAAGCGTATATTCCTGATATATCCAGTGAGAAAAAATTCTTTATTTAAAATAGACTAATTGTTTTTCTTTTACTAGGTTAAATAAAATACTCTACAAATGAGAATTGTAATCCAATATATGAAACCCAGTAATACCAGTTAGGGGTTCTGCACCAATCCCCATTCCATAAAGTTTAAATGAAATAGCTTAGAATTCTGAGACTACGTGCCTTTGCTTAGAGAGAAAAGCAGTACCACATTTTCTGGATATAATAGTGTTATGATGCTCACAGGAGGAATCCTATAATGACTAAGACAGCTAAGAAACAAGCTTATCAAATGCGGACACTCTTACACTTGCTCTCGTGTTATTAATTGTATTTCTAAATCATGGAGACATTTGACACATTTTATTTCAATAAGAGAATAAAAGCAAGAAGGGAACCTAAGCTATTTCTAGCCACTCATATTTATTAATATATGCATGGTGCTTTAATGCCTGTGCTGCAGGAGGGTAGCCAGCCAGTGTTTTAGCGAAGAGGTACACTACAGGGATGAAGCTGTGCAGCTTGTGCACACAGAAGCAAACTGAGGGTTTGAGGCTGTCAGGGCTCTTGGAAACGCCATGCGTTGTGCATCACCTGGGGGTGGTGGGCTTTGTTTCCTGGCATCAGTGATTGCGGAGTATCTGGGGTCATTGTGGTTTCCATGGTAGCTTCTCCCAGGGGTGTGGTGACATCAGCATCATAGGTCTCATAAGCCTCAGCTAATTCAGGGATCATCAGTGGGTCAGTGGTTGCTGGGGTGACCCCAAGAGGTCTCTTCCTCTGCCCTGCAGGGCCTCTTGCCATGCTGGGGACATTGTCATTAGGGAAACCGAGGAGCCCTTCCTGAGCACCAGGTGCTATCTGGGAAAGAAGAGCTGCGTTTTCTGGATTGTCTGGGTTGGCCTCCTGCAGTGGGGAGCCTTGTGCACCTTCTCCCTTTTCTGGGCCTTTAGTTGCAGCCGGGGAGTCAAATTCCAGAGTGAAGTCTCCAGCCATGTTTGGATCTTGGGGCATCCTTCTAATGGTGTGCCTCATGCCTGTAAATCCTGGCAGCAGGGCTCCGTAGGTCATGGGTCCCCCTCTTCCTCCCTGGAAATCAAACATTTATCAAAGCCACCCTTATTACCTACTACTAACCATACGTTTGCAGTTATACCTGAGAAACTACAGAAAAACTGATAGAGAATAGGGAGCTGGCAGATAGCTTTGTGTGAACACATTTCTTGCAAGCCTGTGGTTGAAATACACGGGAGAGGGTTCTACACCTATATTTGGGCAGGGGAAGGGCACTTCTGTGAAAGGCACAGACCCTTCCCCACTTAGGGAGAAGGAAAGAAGGGGAGCAGTATGCTGGCCAAATAGAAGCAATGCTTGAGACAGTTTGAATTCCGTTGTAAAGAAACAGTAAGAAATTGAAATGGGTACTACCATCATAAATAGACAGACATCAGATTCATAAGTACATATATTGCGAGGTGTTTTGAAGGATTTTGTCGTGGTATTTGTGAATATCCTCCAAATGAATGAAGCCCCATGTAAATTTTTTTCTTCCTTTTTCTCTTTCCTTGTCTTCTTTCCTTCCTTCCTTTCTCCCTCCCTTCCCTCTCTTTCTCCCTTTTCCCTTCTTTCCCTCCCTTCTTTCTCTCACCCCTCCTCCTTTTAGAATAAGTACAAGAAAAAGCCTGATTTTTCTGGAGGAACTAAAATATTTCTTTGTTGTGGGCACATAAGTGTGTTCCATTTTCTACCTTTGCTACTGAAAATATGGGAACCAAAATCTTGGGCTATTTGCAACTGAGCAGAGCTGTGTGATTTGCTCTTACATATTCTGATTTCCTCACAGTTTCAACTCCTCAAAGTCCTACCTTCAGTTGTTTGTTGTATTTATTGTACGTTTTTCATAAGCTACCACAAAATCTTTTGAGTATTAGTCAGAATGTAAACAATTTAGTGATACTGCAAGGCAGTAATTTGCACTTAACTTGAACTTCTGATTTCCAGTCTGCCTTGGAGCATTGCAGACACTGTGCTCTTTCTTTCTACTTCCTCCTGGCTCTTTACTGAGTCTCAGCTTTCACATGATCTCTTCCGAGATGCCACTGTGACTCCTGTGCCGGGGTGTCTTTTCTTACTTCCTGTTTCCCAATGATGAAATGGTCATCTCTATCTCCTGAATGTGGTGTTATGTGTTCTCCTTATCTTTTCCATTTGTTAGGCTAGAAGCTCCTTCCCAAAGGAGTTGGATTGGTCTCATCTTCAGTATCTTCCTAGCTTCCTATGGGTAAGGTGCATAGAAGGCACTCGAAAATGTTCAGGAGTGAGTTTCCTTTTAGAGAAAGAATGTGTGTGTGTTTAGTAATCTGATTTGATAGGATGAGTAGTCAACAAGGACTTGTTAATTCAGTGTGGCTTTTATTTTCTTTTGTACTTTAACAGATGAGATATAAGAAAAGGTCAAGCTGTATGAATTAGTAGATCTCAAATCTTATAATGTGTATGGATAACAAAATAAGATTAAACTTACTTAGTGCACTTTGAAATTTTATAATAATCAGATTTTAAAGTTGGTTAACTTTATTTCCCTGTTTGGACTTTAATTTTGAGTTTTGAATTACTTATGCTGTTCCTGAAGTGGGTATTTTGGAGGTGAAATGGCCCTAAGAGGAAGAGGAACCCTGCATGCACCACCTGTGTCTTTTCCTTTGAAGTGCTGCAGGTCAGTGAGGGTGGTCCTTCAGGAGAGTGTGGCTTCTGTGCATATACAAGGGCTCAGGTCAAACCCTGTGCTCAAGGTTTGGCATCACTCAGAGGTAAATGGCTGTATAGGACATAAAATGAAGCCTTTTGACACTGGCTTAGAATCAAGCATTTGGTTTTGGAGTAGAAGAGTCTGAGTCCTGAGCTCTCTGGGCTACTTTCATCGTCAGTGTCTCCTGTAGCAGTCACCTCTGGTTGTCTGTCCCTGGACACCGTTGTCAGAGAGTTAGAAGGTGCTACTTACGGGCATTTCTTCTGAACTCATGAAGCCAAGTCTTGCTGCAGGGGCACTCTGTTCAAAGGGAACAGTGCATCAGATCACGAACCAGCCGCCTCCTGATACCCTCCTAGCTACTCGAGACAAGTTCCAGGTCACTCAGCATTCCCCTAACCCTTAGTATTGATGCTGTGGCCAGAGGCGGCATACAGAGCCAATTTGTCAGATCTAAAATTTACTTTTTCTTTAATGCCATTGTGTGTATGTCTGGCCAGAGTTCTCCAAATAGGAAATGTGCCTCTGTAGTATTTCAATTGCTATTGTAGGTATTTAGGCAATAGTTATTTGGAATGTTTTGTGTGAAGTCTGGGTTTGTATAATTTGCCTTGTAAGATGACATTTAATTAAAAATGCCTACCTTTTATAGAATAGACTTACCAGTTGATTTGTTCCATAGGACATGTAAAGCATTCCTGGATAAAGCTAAACAAAATAAAATAGTTATCATAAAATAAGTTTTCCAAAGACAACACTTTTAAGTAAATTGTAAACAGGGAGGTGGCATTAAAGAAACTTACTGTAGATGGTTTATTTTGTTGCACTGGGACTCGAGATATGAAACGGGCTATTTGGAACACCTTTAAGTGGTAGAAAACAAAATAAATAATTCACACAGGAAAATTCCTACTATGATAATTTCTATGCATTGTATCAAATGTATTTTCAGATGGTTTAGTTTGACAAATTAGTACTAGATGTTTAATAAAGTAAAGGGACCCACAATACTTCATATTCGTAGATAAATAGGATGATTTAAAATTTTTATTCAACTTTTTTGAAATACAGAGTTTTTTTTCCTAAGAAAGTATGTCATTGAGATCTGTACTTACTGATGGAATTTGTGGGTCTGCAAAATCCAGTCCTGAGAGCTGCATCATATATAAATATTAGAGTTAACACTCAAAATAGACAAATTTACACCCAGTAAGACAGTTGCAAACTGTGTTTTGCTTTTTCTTTTAGTCTTTTGGGAGTGAGCTATGAGTGTGCCTGGTGCATGGCTGAAGCATCCTGGCATGGGGTGAAGCGTGTCAGTTGAGGGTGGATAACACCGCGCAGAGTAAAAGCAATGCATGTTCAGACGGGGAAGTGCGTGATTGATTTGAACTCTGCCTCTGCCACTTAGGCTTTATTTAACCTTGGGAAAATTCTGTATCTATCTTTGTAAGACTGTAGTCAGGGTGTTATGGGAAATGTTAAATGCGTGAAATGTGCTGGTTATATGGTACCTTTCTTTTTCCATGCATTGTACTTTTTTCTCCAAATATGTTTACATGGTTGTCATCTCTCTATTGAGAGATAATATATAATCCTATAGCTATGCAGAAGGGTTAATCATGTCCTCAGTCTTATGCATGCACACACACACACACACACACACACACACATGCACACGCGATAGATAGAGAAATAGATAGCCTGGACTTCTCCAGGCTGTCCTATTTCCTATTGAGGGTTTCATCTTTTGCAACTAAGAAACCAAGTTTTATGGGCACAAGATCTTTTGGAATCTGTACTGTGTCAGATGGCAAAGACCAGAAAAATGGATGTTTATATTCTACTAAAAAATAAGTCCTTAAAGTAAAGGCTACTTAATAACATATTTTAGTGCATTAGGCCTGAGGGCTGTGATTGTTTGAATATGGCTTGCAAATTGGTTTTCATTCATTAGCTTAGTAGGTGATCCTAATCTGATTTTAGAGAAAATAATTATTGTGGGCTAGGTCTGTAACTCAGTGGTACAGTGCTCACCTAACCTGTACCAGACCCTGGGTTCTGTCCCCAGCATGAGGGGGAGTGGGAGAAGATGGATGAATTACCTCAGGATTTAGTGCCATCTCTGTTGGGGCCACTTGCTGATGAGCCTCTGGCATTTCTCCATCCTTCAAGGGCAGCTGTCTGGGGTGCATCGGAGGCTGAGGCCCTCCCTTCGGGGGTGTATCCTGGACAGCAGGGGTAGCAGTGGGCTGCTGGAAAGGTTTCAGGCCTGCCTGTGGAGGCTGCTGGGATGGCTGAGATGGGAGAGGTGGGGGATGCACCGGCACAGAATACTCATACTGTAGAAGATTTGAGAATAGTGTCAGGAAGGGATGGTTCCCTGACCTGCGGCCAAGAGCTTGTCTAGCAAAAGGCCTTGGGTATGGTCCGGATGGCAGTGGGTTAGGGACTTGTCTAGATGTAGAGTCAGTGTCATTTGAGAAAATTCTGTGTGTGCTTGCCTCCCCTACCCTCTTTGGGGCCACCATTGCTCAGGAACATGGAAGACTACTGGAACTTTCTGCTGCAGTGAGTCACTTCTTCCTCTTGGTTGTCTTGATTACCAGTGTGTATCTTTATTTTACTATTCTGTTATTGGACTATAAGTATTTGTCATTAAGTCCTTGTCCCCAGCCAGGTGAAAGAGAAATATGCATATTTGGCTTTTTTTTTTTTGTTTGTTTTTTTTTTTTGAGACAGGGTCTTGGAATTTAAAGCTTCTGTCAAAACCACCAGTTTCTTTTGCTTCCTTTAGAGATTACTTGTGGTAAATAGCTGCATATCCCTTGTAAATGAGCTGTAAACTCCTCAGATTGGCACGGAAGCCTCAGAATTATTTGGCTATGCTTTGCTGTGATAATTGCCTATGTTTCAACTCCCAAGGTATTCATTTCTTCTACCTCGCAATTTAGTACCCTGAAGTATGTTGTTTTATCTCCCAATCAGGTTTGAAATTTCCTGAGCCTTGGAGCTATCCTAGAATGTATTAACCAAGTTGGGTGTGGTGGTGCACACCTGTAATCCCAGCACTTGGGAGGCTGAGGCAGGAGGATCACTGCCTGTTTGTAACCCCAGCCTGGGTTACATGGCCAACATGAACTTGGCAAGACCTTGTTTCAAAAACAAAGCAAAACAAAACAAAAAAACAACCCCCCCAAAAAACAACAAAACCAAAACAAATAAAATGTAGTAGTCCCTACTCTCAAGCACAATTTGATTAGTATACTTATTAGGCATCTAATAAATTATGTCAACAGGTTGATTTATAGATCTTTAAAGGGTTCACTAATTTTTTTCCCATTAAGTTTATTGGTACATTTAAAGCAAACAATACCGTTACATTTATCTTTGGGATCTTGTACCTTTACTTGGTTCTTGTTTTTTCCTCATACCCCTGTCTTCCCTTCACTCCCTTCACCCTTTCCTATTTACAAAGACTTTGTTTCCATTTTTTCATTTTTCCTTTTCCCTTATTTCCTTTCCCTTCCCCTTCACACTTCCCCTTTAGCCATTTTCTTCCTATGTCACATTCTCGATTAAGTTCATTATGCTTTAATGAGAATTTTTGTTATCATTTGAAATTTGCCTTTAAAGAATTATTTAGAAAATTTTGATTAAGTTGGAAATTGTCCAGGATAGTATGCTTTCATTTTTTTTTGTACCGGGGATTGAACTCTGGTGCTTGTGCTTGCAAGGCAGGCCACTGAACCACTGAGCTAAATCCCCGGCTATATTTTGGAAGCCATGTCTTTCTTGAAATAAATACTAAAATGGTTGAAAATTTTAAATATTTTCCTGTGATTAAAAACAATTATAAAATTTGAAATTACTATAATTGTTTTAAAAATTACTGGTTTTGTACCGGGGATTGAACTCTGGTGCTTGTGCTTGCAAGGCAGGCCACTGAACCACTGAGCTAAATCCCCGGCTATATTTTGGAAGCCATGTCTTTCTTGAAATAAATACTAAAATGGTTGAAAATTTTAAATATTTTCCTGTGATTAAAAACAATTATAAAATTTGAAATTACTATAATTGTTTTAAAAATTACTGGTTCTTTTCTATTGCTAGTATATCATAACTTCCAGAAGGCAAGTAGGGAAAGATGTCACATCTTGAAATTTGAAACACATCAGTGCCATCAACTTACCTGTTGAGTTTCATGTTCTCTTGGTCTCAGCCATGGGAAAGGGGAAGGTGGTGGGAGGAGACCTTGTAGCCACAAAGGATTAAGTGATTTCCCCAAGCCTAATCTGGAATACTAAAGACATGGAGGAAAAATGACCATTCTTACACATTAATATTATGAAGACAAATCAAAAGGTGAAAGTCATGTTGGTGAATGTGAAATGTCTGGGCAAATTCTTGCTTCCAATAAACTGAAATTTCTCTCTGAGCAAGACTTATGTATTTCCATAAATTTTTTTTGAGATTTAGCTCTTTAAACACTGGTGTTACAGCCATATAATAAAATCTGTAAGTCACAAAAGGTTTTTTATTAATCTAATGACAATTTAATATTGTTTTTATTTTTCCCTGTCACATTGCCTTATTTTGTTTTATTTGTTTCAATTACTTGTTTTTTCAACCTTTAGAATGCTGCCCACTCATAAACAAGTTTTATGAATTACAATGCTGCTGCCACCACTGCCATCATCATTATTATTTTCAAATATTAATAAAAATTTTGAAAATGTGATTACCTGAGAAAGTGCATTTAATCCTTGCAAACTTCCCAACTGTCTCATTGTCTATCAAGAAAAAAAAGTGTGTTAGTGTTTGTCCCATAGATTATCTGTTCTTTTGGAGCAACTGATTTCTCTTGATTCTTATCGTCCAAAACAACTTGGGGTAGGTAAATCTGAATAAAGCAAAAGCAGATACAAATTATCACTGAAAGATGATCGAAAATCTGCTGCAGTTGTTGTTCTATTAAAATAATAAACTTGCTTTTACAAAACATTGATTTTAAAAACATTGAAAAAGTATCAGTTAAAGGGGTCACATTGAAAATGGAAAAACAGCTCATTCAACTGAAATAAATATAGAGGTAATTGTGAAGACATTGCTTCTTAACTTTCTCCTGTCACCTAAATTATTTTAACTCTTACAAATTCAGTCTGAAAAGAAAAAGGAATTTGAACAAATAAAATGAAGCAAAAAAATTCCCCAACTTTTGACATTTTTCTGAAGTAAAAAAAAAAAAACCCTCAAAATTATGCATATAACAAACACTGGAGGAAAGAGTATCTGGGTAGATCATCTAGCGTGCTTCTGCTGCAGTTTTGGGCCGGAGATTTAGCTCAGTGGTGCCACCACCTGCCTCACAAACGCAAAGTCCTGAATTCAATCCACGGTATCCCCACCCACCCCCCAAATCAGTTTTTTTTAATGGGAAGATATTTAGAGTGTTTTGTAGTCGAATTAAAAAGTGAGCAAGCTCAGCGAAATTACCTTCTGTGTGAAATGAACATCTGGCCCCACGTGTGTATGGGCTGCCCTAGATTATTATGATACAAAATTTTGTAAACCCTTGTGAAAAATTGTGATATTCTTGATCTTATAGATCTCTATTTAAACTGTCAACCTTTTTATTGATATTACTCAAAAAATTTCTATTCTGCTGGAGTTTTCTAAACAGAATACATATTATTTATAAGAACTACATTAAAACTACATAGGAAGTTTAGTATACTGTTAATGCTATTTTTTACTAGTATAAGTTGCAATATGTAATAATTATGTTTATTTTGGGGACATGGCATATGTACATACCATGTCTTGATCATTTTTACTCCTCCTTCCTCCTCCTCCTTCCCAGATCCCTTCCCATCTCCACAGTCTATTTTCTATTTCCTACCAACCTTTTTTTCTCTTAGTTGAGTCTCATATTCGAGAAATCATGCAAAATTAACCTTTCTGTGCCTGACTTATTTCCCTTAAGTGTTATAGCCTCAAGATCCATCCATTTTCTTACAAATGACTCAAGTTTATCCTTCTTTATGGCTGAGCAGTACTACATTTTCTTTATCCATACATTGGTTGATGGGCATAAAGGTTACTTCCAAGATTTAGTTGTTATGAGTTTTGCTGCTATAAATATGGTGTGCATATATCACTGTGATATGATAACTTTAACTTAGAAAGATACCCAGTTGAGGAATAGCTGTATCAAATGGAATTTTTATGTTTAATTTTTTTGAGGAATCTCTATATTGACTTCTGTAGTGGTTGTACTAGTTTACATTCCTACCAAAAATGTAGAGGTGTTTCTTTTCCCCACAACCTTGCCAGCATTTGTTGTCTTTTGAATTCTTGATAATAGCTATTCTTACTGGAGTAAGGAGGAATATCAGGGTTTTCTTTTTTGCATTTTTTTTAAATTGCCAAAAATGCTGAACATTTTATCATGTACTTAGCCACTTGTACTTCTACTGAGAAGTGTCTGTTCATTTCAGTTGTCCATTTTTTTCAGGCGAGGAGGTCTATTTTTTTGAGTTCTTCCTATTTTCTGGATATTAGCCCTTGTCCAAGCATTATCTGGCAATCATGTCTTCCCACTCTGTAGTCTGTCTCTTTGGTCTCATATGCTATGCAACTCTTAATGCTACTTACAGTGCTTCTTATAAACAGTCAAATGAGTTTTCTGCATGTCAACTTTATCAGATAAGATTATAAGCAGCAAGGCTAAATATAAACCATTTGCAACTATAGAAAAAGGGTTTTAATTAAATGTAGTGATTATGTTGAGGCATCTATAATATATTAGGTATTAGTAATTACTATTACTTTGATAGAGATGATGTTCTCAAACTTAAAACATCTAAGCATTTAAATTTTCAGTAGACTTACAAGATATAACTCTAATAAGTATCATTAACTTCTCTAGAACTGCGCAGGATGGTAGCCATAGACTGTGACTAGGAAAACTCAGAGTCAGTCCATTATATCTCTCCACAATCAAGAATATAACCAACGTAAAGATAACATAAGAAGGCTCTAATACTACATACCTCCAGACTCAAACTAGCCATGCCTGGTGGTGCCATGTTTGGTGCCCCCGGCTGCTGAGGAAATGCCTGAATGGAAAGAAATGCTTTTGAGTTTTCTTGGCAAGAAGCTTCCTTGAGCATGTTCATTAAATGTGTGCTGGGAGTAGAAAGTCCCCTAGTACATGAGGGCTAATTTTAGGGGCTGCCAACTTGGCTTACTACTCAAATCACTTGGGCTTTTGGACAAAGTATGGACAAATTTATTTGAGAGCTTTATAATGTTTAATAATCTCGCTCCCAAATGAACCATCTATTTTTTGTGTGCATCTTAATGTTATGTTACTTACTTGCTTGCTTTATTTATTTATTTATTTTTTCTGGTACCAGGAATTGAACTCAGGATCTTCTACTTGCCAGGCAGGCATGGTGCCACTGAGCTATATCCCTGATCCTACTTTAAAAGCAAAATTTTATTTAGTTTACACAATGAGAAATAAAATAAGGTACCAGAATATAAAACTAAGATTACTTTATAGCCAGGTCTGGTGGCTATCCTGGGAGGCTGAGGCAGTAGGATTTCAAGTTTGAGTTCAGCCTCAGCAATTTAGTGACTTAGTGAGACACTGAGGATGTAGCTAAGTACAAAGACCCTAGGTTCAATTCCCAGCACCACAAAAAAGAATATTCTACATTCTTAAAAAATAATTACTTAAAAAAGTAAAAGGGTCAGACTTGAGCTAAATTTTCACATGCTTTTCAAAAACTCCTACAGGCCACAGTGTGAGATCATGACAGTGAGAAAACTGACGTGCAGAAGCTAAGTTGCCTCCTATATACCAAGGGTGTCAGCAAGTCGTCCATTAGCTTTAGTGAAAGACGTTGCATAAACCTGCTGATCCATGTTTATATTTTCAGTTCATATTGAAGGTATTTTTTCTTAAATATAGGCAGCTATGGGACTGTAATGTACAGTCAGCTCCATTGCTGTGATGTGCTTGATTTCAGAAACATCAGGGATTTAGCACAGTGGCTCCGCTTCTGCCTTGCAAGCACAAGGTCCAGAGTTCAATGCTCAGTACCAAAAAAATAAAAAAAGGAAACAAAAAAAGAAGCATCAGCTCAATCACACAACTTCACACTTGCAAGTAAACTTACTTAGTACTTTAACTGCAATCATTTAGCTCAGTTTTGCAGCCATAGTAATTTGGCTAATATTGTGCTTAAAATGTAAAGAAAAGTACTTCTTTGTCCAGAACAATATCCTGTTCCCATTTCAGTTTCATAATTACAGCAAGGAGTTGATAATAAAAGTGTGCTATGGCATGGTGGAGACCATTTAAGTCTTTTAACTTTAAATGAGTCAAATAAGACTTAGAAATTATCTTGGGGATATTTTAAATATTTTATGTAGTAGAAAAGTTATGTGTGATGTTCTGCTTTTGGATGGCAAGGCTTTTGATGCATAAGCAGCTGTACCACTGGGTCAAGAGCAGAACCCATGCGTGGGCCTCAGCCCACTTCCCTTCAGTGTTTCCTGGCACCCAACAGTCCAGAGCTGTCCAGGGCCCGTTCTAGCGGACAAACTCACCGGCACCGCGAAGCTCATTTTCAGGAGACACAGGAGCAGGATCAGGTCCTTCATTTTAAAAAGTGGAATCTACAGTGCAGATGGTTGGAGAACTAAGTCACATGAATTTTTACTTCAAACAGTTAAAGACATTAAAAAAAGAATCTGAGTCTATTTTTTCAAGACAATCAGATTTAAAAAAAACAACAAAAAGCAGGATGTTGCTAAGCAACTGACATATTTATTATTTCCTGGAATAAACTGACAAACAATGAAAAACATCTAAGCACTTTTTAGTGGAGCTACAGTCTAAATGAGTATTTAGGGACCACCCCTGTGGACACTCTTTAGATGATATGCTTCATTTTGTAAAATGAACATGAATTTAAAAATCCTTCTATCAGGTGAAACATTGGCTTTCAAGTACAGTTCACAAGAGTTTATCTTTGCCTCATCATCGGCAGATATTTGGCATATCGTTTGATATTTAGGTTATTTGCACAACCATGGCAAAACTTATCTTTTACAAACTAGAGTAAGTTGAATATGTTAATTTCCTTTGCTGTGGAAAGGAAAATATTCCTCAAATTCGGTCTTTTTTCTTAAAGTATCTCTTTATTTGATAAGTTGAAAGTGTCTTTGAAGCTGACTACCAAAGATATTTGCTTATCTTTTAATATCTTTATAATTAATCACTGACACTCATAATCACAAACAGTAAAATGAAAATTCTAGAGATAAGCCTCATTTAAGCTGAAGGGTATTAGTCATATCTTCTCTGGACTATGCTACTGGATTACAATAAGATATTTAGCACCTTGTGACAAATGAAGATAAATCCTCTCTGGAGGTAGGAAAAAGAACTTACTTACATGAAACACAGAAATTATAAAATCATGTTTTACCTTAGATGATGACATTCACAGTGCTCTCAGGGACTGGTGATGCCAATCAAGAAACTTCTAAGAAAAGAAGATTAAAGCTTTTTCTGGACTGTGCCTGGGACTCTCTGTGTCTCTCGGGCATGGAAGATCAGAAACCTTTATTTAAAGGCCAATCCACCAATCAAAGTGGAGCAGAATGGAGGAAAAAAATCTCTGCCCCTGAAATCAGTCCACACCCTTTTATTGCATGCAAGAACATTGCCCTGTAGGGTCTCATTATTTTTAATTGTAACTCAGCCCCTGTATTTATTCAGAGAACTTGATTGTAGGGAAGACCGTAAGGGAATAATGGACATAGGCTCTGAAGACAATCATTTTGGTGAGCTGGGGGAAATATATGTAAACTAGGTGTAAAGCATGCCATTATCTGTTTTGTGCAAGTATTTATCTGCAGATAAAGCTAGTGACCCAATGCAGCAGTCTCAAGATTTTTACCCTCCTGTTTATTGTGGTGAAAGTACATCCCCTCCCTCCCTCCCCCAACACACACACACACACACACACACACACACACACACACACACACACCCTAGAAGGAAACACTGAAATACCTTCCTGGGCTTGAAAGGAAAGAAGAAAATATTAGATGGATGATAAAAGTGTTGTGATATTTTTGCTTGGAATCTCCTAGATATTTTCATATCTGAAGATACTGATTAGATGTACCATGCTTTAGGATTGCCTTGGGTAAATCTTTGGTGTGTGTACTTTGAGAGAGGGGAAACATTTAAAATATTCTCCATGAATCAATCAAACCAGTGGGCCCAACTTTGATTTTTGAGGTAGTCACTTTTATAGGCATTAGTATTAGATTATCTAGGCAAGGTGGACTTGGGTCTCTTACAAGGTTAACACCAACCCAGGTGAATTTTTTCCCATGAATAGAGTGTCATGGATATAGACAGAACTTCAGCTGCCTTAGTTATTTCTCTGCTCCTCTTAGTCTTTCCAAAGGTGTGATTTCACATATGGTAGGGATAAGCATTTGAGGTTCATTTCTGAAGAAGGGATGACTCAGTACACTCTAGGGAAGTAGACGTCTTGTCAATTACAGGGAGCATTGAGGAAGCTGGTATTTTGGGAGACATACATTTCCATACCCAAGTGCAGGCCTAATAGCTTTACATAATTTTATTTGTGAAGTTGTCCCTGAAAAACTCCTTCTCCCACTGACAGCAGAATTATCTTTAGGATGCAAAGAAATATCACTAAATGTTATTGAAACAAAGGTCCCCTTCTCCTCCTGCCTTCCCCTGGTGCTTGATCAAGTCACTTAGTTTCTCTGCAACATAAAGGTAACAGTTTATTGTCACAGGCTTGCCTGGAAGATGTTGAGATGATGAAGATGCAACACCTGTCAAACAGTGAGTGCTCAGTAAGCAGGGTGACACCACATGAAATATGGGGCCACAGGATACTGGGGTGTGCTGGGGGAGGACAGGGTTTCACTAAGTCACTAAGTTGCCCAGGCTGGGCTGGAATTTGCTATTCTCCTGCCTCAGCCTCCCAGAGTGCTGGAATTAAGGGTGGGCACCACCACCCTTGGCCAAGCTACACTTACTTAAGGTGCATGTCTTGATGAGTTTGGACATATGCATATACCCATGATGCCATCATCACTACCAAGGTGCTAGACACATCTATTACCTCCCTGAATTTCAATGTGTTACTTTTTGGGTTTTGTTTTGCTTTGTTTCATTTGGTAAGACACTTAACACAAGATCTATCTTCTTAACATATTTAAAATGCACAATAGAGTATTGGTAACCATAGGCAATACGTTGTACAGATCTTTAGAACTTATTCATTTTTGCCATGAATAATAGGTACCTTTTACTCACTGAAAGATAATTCTCCATTTCCCTGTTCTTTGGCTCCTGCTTCTGTGTGTGTGGCTATTTTAGATAGCTTGTGCAAGTGGAATCACACAGAATTTGTACTTCTGTGGCTTGCTTATTTTGCTTGGCACATTGGCTGCTAGGTTTCTCTTTTTGCGGACAGTAAAACTTCCCTTTTTCCGAGCCCTGTAACATTCCGTTGTTTGTGCATTCCACCTTGTCTGTCCATTTGTCTGTTGGTGAATATTTGGGTTGGCTGCTGTGAATGTGATGCATTTTTCTAGACTCTTCTTCTTTAGAACTTGTTTCTTAAAGCCTTATTCAACTTTTACCTCTTTTATGACTCCTCCACCACTCCATTTTATTATTAGTTTTCCTTCTTTGAGTTGTAAATATTTGTATCATTCACCTGACAATCATTCACATACTGCGTTGTGATATTTGCTCATTATAAATCTTTAATATTTTGCTTTGTGTGTAGTTTTAATTTTTTGATATGGTTTTCAGTCTTTTCAGCAATATGAAACATTCCTACAGGTTGATCACCCTACTAACTTGCATCCTTTTGCATTCCATACATATCATATTCACTAGTATTTGCATAGCATTTACTGTGAGTAGCCATTACTCTGAGTGTTTTACAGATATCAGTTTATTTAACCCTCACAAAAACTTTATGAAGAAGGTGTCATCCTTCTCTTTTTGCACACAATAAAACTCAAGAATCTCAGAGTCCTTGCTTTTAATTACTATGTCAATACAAAATTAGTTGCCAAGTAGCAGAAGACAGAGACTGATCAAAGCACATGCACTTGTCTGTAAAGAATTTGTCAGAAATTTACTAAAGGAAAAGAGATATACAAAAATCATTAATGAAACATCAATTAAATAATCTCATTGAAAAACACATACATTATGAAGAGGGATGCTAGAGAAAAGTGATTCTTAGTTAAAGACCGTATTTGCCTCCCTGGATGTGCACTCCTGAGGAAACCTTGGGAGGTAGTTTTTGTTGTCACAATTTGCCCAGGACTGGGTGAAGAGAGATTTCTACTGTCAGTGTTGCACACCCCCATGCACAGACACTAGTCCCCAGTGTCAGTAGGGCCCAGATTTGGAAACTGCTGGAGAGGTGTGCTGTGTGAGTTGTGAAGCTGGAGACATCCTCTGGGGTTTGGGCCAGGCTACCACAGAAGCTGGCTCTGGAGGAAGGATATGCTCTGATAGGAGGTTCAGTCAGTAACTGGTGACCGAGAAAGGGTAAGTTCCAAGGGTTTCAGGGAAGGAATCTGATGGGGGAACATCATGTGTTACATTTCCATGGTTGGGAACAGAGATGGAGAGAGAGAGTACAGTCATACCGGGGAAAAAACACTTTTTTATTTTTAATTATTTTTTGGTGCTGGGCCTGAACCTAAGGCCTTCACACTGAGCTACGTCCCCAGCCTTTTAAAATTTTTAAATTTTGACACAAGTCTCACCAAGTTACTGTTGTCTAGGCTGGCTCAAACTTTCAATCCTCCTGCCTCAGCCCCTCAGAGTGCTGGGATTATAGGTTTGCAGGACTGTGCCTGGTATAGGGAAGGCCAATTTAAAGCACTTCCTTTGGATGAATGTAAACAGGGAATTCTACTGTGTATAGTATTAGTAGCTTATTTTTACTGACCACTTACCCCATGGCAGGTGCCATGCATTATGTTCATTATTTTAATCCATCTTCACATGCCATACTCTCAGACCCACCATGTAAGAGCTGTGCTTCAGAGATGGAAGAGGGCTGAAGTGTTAGGAAGAAGCAGAGATCCTGCTCTTGATCACCGATCACTGTTCAGTAGTGTTGTTGGAGGGCCCTTCGGTTTGGCTAAAGTTTACATTTGATTGTTAATTCTTACAAAAAATGAATAATATGTGTGAAATCTACTGATACATTATTACCATATGATACTGTAGCATAGGAGTCAAATTTGAATTATTTTTATCGGCCAATACAGTGAATGGTCAAAGTTATTTTGAGAATTGAAGACAATATTAGAAGATACTAGTTTTCACTGGTTTCCATATGTTTCATATGGGATAAGAAATAGAAAAATAATATAACACAGAACGACCAATTAGGTGAAGGTTTTTACCTCCTCAACTTTTACCTCTTTCAACTTTTTCCTCTTATACTACTTATCTACTAAGCATTATATCAAATATGTACTTAATAGTATGTCATAAATATTAATATATGGCTACAGTGATAAATATACCTTTAATTGCCTGGGTAATCCTTTGTTTTGAACTTTGATCATTTCTAATTTTTACAATGTTTAGATTGGTAATGGCTTGAAAATATCTTCATATCTTGAATATGATTTATTTTAAATGTATATTTTTATGACTCAATGTTATTGAGTTATCCAAGTTAATACACTGTTTTGCCAGAACTTATTCATTTATTTTCTCTCTGCCCCCTCCCTTTCTCTCCCTACCTTTCTTTTTCTCTCTCCTTTTCTGTCTCCTCTCCTCTTTCTCCCTCTCTCTTCTCTCCCTCCCTGTCTCCCACTCTCTCTTTCTCCATTTAAGCTACTTGAATATGACAAATTTTATTCTAGCTTTTGTATTTGTTTTTCTCTTTGTAATATAAAAATATGATATTTTGATCCATATATTTTTAAAAACTTGCATTTGAAAAATGACAAATTATATTTAGTAAGTCCTTTCTGTGCTCTGTACCCTGGGCATTTAATTCCTTTAATCTTCACAACAGCCCCACAGGTCAAGTGTTACTGTTACTGTCTGTGTTGTATAGATGAGTGAAGGGGGTGAGAGAGATTAAATAGTTTGACCAAAGTCACACAGCTAGTGAGAGGCAGTCTGGGTTCAACCTAGACTGATTAATGAGAGGGCCAGATTGCCCAAAAGATTTAAAAATTCTAAATGAGAAGGAGCTAAATGTATCAAAGAAAGTAACGGGATGTTTGAATTCCATTGCAGCTTAAACAAGAGGCTGAAATAGTTCATGTATTCATTTCACAACTGAGCGTCTGACATGTACAGATACTGTTCTAGGCTCTGGAGATATGAAATAGGGCAAAAGGGATTAGGAAAAAGTCCTCATAGAGTACACCTATTAGTGGGGAAATAATCAATAAGCAGGAGGAGTAGGTAAAGTATACAGTACGATAAACACCACAGAGAAAAAATTAAGACACCCAGGAGCATAGGTATTGTTG